GTCTGAAATATCTTTCTGTTTCCGTTATCGTTTATTACCTACTATGTATACACAACGCACATCTACTTGCTCGTTCTCATATTATTTTTCTTATGTTTGTATTAAATTTTACCTTTCTAAAACGATTCTGTACAGCAGTAATAGCTAAATGTCCTTTTTTTCCACTGTTCCAAAATTCAACTGTTTTTCTTTTGTACTTTAAGTTTATATTTCCACCTTCGTTATCCACAATACAAACTTTGTCTTCATAATTATCTTCTTCAGCATCAATATCATACACGTCCACAAATTGTACATCATGCGGTTCCGACGGATCGTCAAAATCAAGTTCCCATTTGTATTCAATCTCAACATCATCATTTACAGCATTTTTTATTATATCGGAAATGGCATTATGAAGTTCAACTTCATGGCGATTAACAGGTGAGACACCAAAATTTGCAATGTTAAACGTTGTGATTAATAAATTTATAACATTTGCTATATTTATTCTTGTCATTTTAACACAAATTGTTGTGTTATCACCAGCGCAAGGAGTTCATCTCCCGTGAGGAGTTAATTTAAGAAATCATCTCTTGGATTTATTTTTTATATATAAAACTTTAATTCGGAACTCACAATCAGAATATATTTCAGTTAACTTAAATCGTATAATAATTGTTAAAATCAAGCGACACGACACATGGTCTTGTCGCTAAACGATCCCCTCCTGGGAAACCAAGGGGAGATAATAAGAAGACCCATCGCTAACGAGCGGCGGGCAGTCTTTATCCTTAATCAATATTACGCGGGCAGTATCGCTAACAGTCGCGAGTGTCAACAGCAAGTGTCGATAATTATTGCAATATCGAGTAGTCACACTTAGTAAAAATCGTGGAGATCGAGAAGCGAGTCCCGCGACGTAAACCCGACTCCAAACACGCGCACGCGAGTGTAGGGTTGCCAAATCCAGAAATCTAAATTACTGGATATTTCGTCTTTGGAAACAAAATCTAACCGGACAAAACCGGACAAAAACAGTAATCATAAAACTAGATAAAATACAAAATTTTATTAGAAATTACTTACAATAAACATTTGTTAAAACATTTAACACGTTAAAATAAAAAACGTTTAATATTTATTAAAACATAAAATATATTTTTTTGAACAAAAATAAAAATAATAAGCTCATTTAATTAAATTAAAAAGTACGGAAAAATACAACTTTAATTAAACATTTAATTAAAGTTGTATTTTTCCGTACTTTTTACTATTTTTAATAGATTAGGTTTAGATCTAGCATAATTTACGAATTCATTACATGACATGTCCAAATTAATGACCGTAAATAATTCAGCTTTCACCAATTCAACTTCCATTCTATTTCTTGACTTTGTCCATACTTGTTCCATTAAGCTGAATACTCTTTCTGGGAAAGCATTACCTGTTGGTATTGAAAGTACAGCCTGAACTATTTTTAGTAAGTTGTTTGTAGTAAAATCACATTTCTTGAAAATATCTATCCATTGTTGATCAACAGATAAATTTTTATCAATATGATGAGCAACAGTTTTTAACACTATATACTCTTCATATAATTGATCTCCATCAAATTGTAATTTGAGGATTTCTGCTGCTTTTAATCTGAATTTCTTTCAGATATTGTTAGATTTGGTAATGCTTGATTAACTTTAAATCCAAAAAATTTTTCTGTTATTCGGTTCTTTAAACTATCTCTAAAGCAACAAAGAATATTATGCAAATCAATAACGGTAAGAGTATTACTCTCAAGTTTAGCAATTAAAACATGAAATAAGTTCATTATATTATGAATAAAATATAAATAACACTCTGGAAGAGTATTAACTAGTAGTAGAGTAGTATCTACTTTTCCTCTCGTGGTGGTTACACGGGATCAGCGACGTTGACGTCCTCTCCCTCGGGTCCGTCCTTCGCAGCTGCCGATCGCCGGGATCCTCTCCGCTCGCTCTCGTCTCGCTATCGCTCTCGTCAAAACGGTCCTCTCGCTTACGCTTCTATCTCGCACGCAAGCTCGCGCCAGTCTCTTCCTGGATCGTCGCGATCCAGAATCGATACCTGTGGGCCAGCCGGGGCTGCGCACACAGGGTGCGTATTATCGCAACCAATCACGCGTTATCACGCGCTGTGGCCAGCGGGCGGCGCGCTCACGGTCGTAACGGGGGTACGCGCGCCCCCGGTATTACAAACAATAATTCGCTGGAGCTCTTTTCGCGGGGCCGTCGCGGGGTCTGAGGTGAACGGTTTGGCCGGAAGTATCGCTACCACCCTTCCTTCCGTCTTTTCCGGGACCGCGTCACGCCATCGGGTGCAGAATTGCAGTCCCTCCTCGGGGACCGGATCCGCACGGGCCTGTCTCCTTGCGCGAGGATCCCCTCGCTGTCCCGTGCGTTGCACATCACGTGTGCGGGTCCTGATCCCGTCGTGACGTAGCTAGTTTGGCCGTTAGATGTTTTGGATTTCCAAATTGCTGGCTCCTTGCCCCTCCAAGGTCTTCCTTGATTGGCGATCGTATTTTCCGTGACGCTTCAGCGACTCTCCGCTCCTTCTTCCGATGAGGCTCCCAAATGAATTATTCATACGAAAGAAAATCATAAACGAAATAAATTTTACGCTCGAAATCTCAATTAATGACGCCTCTCTGGAGGTAACGGTACGGTTCTCGCAATGATTCGACTGGCGCGGCCCTTCAGCCCGCGCTTTTTCGATCGGAGAGGAACTCGGCGGACGCGCGCGAGACGGCAACGTCACAGTACTTAAAAACCGGACATATGACGTCCGGTTTGACTTGTCAACCGGACAAGACTCTTGAAAACCTGACATCCGGGTCAAAACCGGACGGTTGGCAACCCTACGCGAGTGTCAGTTAACGCGATACGCGACACGAGTAGATAATGAAAACGAGGACGAATTATAACTAAGACCATTTGTAGTGAATAAAAGCTTTATTTATACAGCTTTCATTATTCGAGACTCGGTTTTGTACGATGGAAACATTACATTTTCTAAAGAATTAGGCACAAACCATGATTTGAAGTTCGGACCAGCATTGAAGTTCGGAGATATTAGAAAAGATGTATACATTAATAATATCAGCAGCTTCTGGGATAGGCAAAAATTCTTCTTTGTTTCTAAAGTATTTGCCAATGATGTATATATCATTATGAATGTCGCGAGCAAAATATTCAATTTGTACTACAGTACCATCTATTAATTGACAATAGCCATTTGCATTGTCTCTCCCTTTGTATGTCACTCCATTAATTATTGCCATCAAAAACCCCTCACTTGAATATTTTGTATGTGGGTTTGTTACGACAAATGGAAATTTTAGTTTTCTTTCAATCTTTTTTTGAACTCCAACTTGGCGGACATAATCAATCTCCTGATACCGTCTGCATAGCTGCTGTAATGGCTGTGAGGCTTTTCTAATTAATTGTTTCAGTTGTTGTAAATAATTTTCAAATTGAAAGGCACTGAAATTATCCAAAACGCCAAAGATTTCAGCATCTGCAGCCAGATGTATCAAACCATGCACGTTGTATGATACTAAGTAATCTCCATATATCGTTTCGAAATCTCGAACAAAATATTTTAACAGCTGATTGGCATAATCATAGTAATGTGATAGTAGTTGTGACGAACATAAGATTCTTATAGCTACGTGCAAAACGTGCAAAACGCAAAAGTTTATGTATTATTTTTCAGGCAAAATATCAGCCAAAACAAAAGGTCCAGTATATAATAAAAATTGCCTGAATTCTGTCGCTTTCCAGAATTTAATATATTCCAAGGAACGGGATTTTCTGCAAAACTCTTTAGGTATACAAGACTTAACTACTTTAAGTAGCAGATCAGAAATAATGTCGATAGCAGCTCGTCTCAAATGATTTCTTCCGAAAAGCCAAAGTAGTAACATTTTCCGCATAACTCCTAGGCATATTAAATGCATGTAGTCAAGAGGCACATTAAAAATTGGGCCAAAATGTGGAATCAATGTTAACAGCGAAATGCCTTTATGATGCTCCACTTGAGTTTGCATCAAGAAATCTCTGTCCGATCTTAAAGTCGCTTGTGTATTCGTAAAGTAAATACGATTCAGCTTGTTAGCTTCTTTTACAATACACTTTGTGCAACTGTAGTAACCAGTATGCGACATGATATTTAGGACAGTTGCTTTCGCTGGAATGTCACAAATAACTTATGAATCTTAATATTATATATCTTTCCTCGGCAATTATAGCCGGTTGTAATTAAATCTATTGTTTCATCCACAAAGTCTTTTAAGAAATCGTTAAAATCTTGAAGTTTTTTATGCCCATGGTAACATCCGATTAAAAATATTTGTGAACAAGGAAATGAACCCAAAATAGTATACAGAGAACTACCAGATGATTTGAATAATGGTATTCCGTCAATATTGATAGACAAAAGTAGAGTTTTCAAAGTTTCATCCGAGCAAATTTCTTCAGATAATTTTTCTAAGCATGTTTTCAAATCGTTGTGCCAATAATAACCTGGTTCAACAGATCTAATAAGACCATTTGTAGGATTCCCCAATAATGCATTGGCTTTTGCTGGTAATTGTGGATATCTATTCGATTTTCTCAAGAGTTGTAATAAACGTTCCAAAGAAGCATGAGTAATACCATCATGTACTGCCCAAAGAGCAATGTCACGACAAATATCATTTTCAGCGTTTTCATCCTCATTACAGGATTCCTCAGAATTTTCTGGATCATCATCAGACTGTATATCCGACAGAAGAAATGCACGTCTCGTTGTAAGGAAATTTATATCTTCACTGGACTTATTACATGTAGCATGTGTAGTTTGCAGTGTCGTCAATGAATATTGCTTTCTATCAAAATTATTACTTTGTATTATTGAAGTCGATAATCCACTATCTCGAAAAAATTTATGAACAATAGTTTCAACATTTTCCAATACTGTATTATATTTTACTGCGACTCGTCTATTTCTACGAAGTTCTGCTGTAATTGTCTTTGAAGCTGCCCGTTTAATCAATAGTCTTTCATGTGATTTTGAGTAATCACGTATATCCTTCCTACGTCCTAACATAATCGTACCTTTAACACGCAAAGAAAAAAAAATAAATAGAAGTTACGCATGATATCAGGTAACGGGGTTAAAAAAGAAACGAGTACACAAGACAAGACAAGAATCAGAGAAAACAACAAGCTACAAATTAGTTTTTTTGAAATGTACCAGAAGTCAACAAAAAAGATAAAAAATTTTGGCGGTATATTAAAAAATTTGATGTCATCAATTTGACAAAAACATGGATAGAGGAATAAACATGGAAAAAGATAGAGACAAAAAGAACTGTGTTTAAGATCAACAAATAATCGGCGCACAGTTTACTAAGTTGGAAAAAGTATACAAAATTCACATACAAATATTATTATTAGGCAAGATCCAGTGCAAAATGGCACTTCTGTCTATTTAATTTAAAACAAATAATGTTTTTCATTTATACCGAAGCATATGCATACACACATTTATTCATTTATTTCAGTCATACTTGGTCTAGTAATGCTAAATTCTAAAAATGAAACATTTTTAAACCCACCCAAGATAATAGAAGATATATAAATGTAGTTGAAAAGTTAATAAGAATATATAGGCCCATATTCATAGTCTATTCTTATTTCCAGATTGTCTTAAGTAATGTCTTAACATGCTAATACGAGTTTATAATTAGCTTATAACATTTTAAGATTGTACTTAAGACAGTCTTAAATATAAAAACTGGCTATGAATACCAGCCATAAAACATGATTATAAAAACAAAGTATTTAATGGCAGTGAAAGGTTCAGTAATTTCAATGCACAGGAAATAATACTCAAATAAAGCTAAATTATGGCAAGATTTGCAAAATCAATGACTGCGTTTAGCAGGAAGAACAGCTTTGCAACTGTTGTAAGATTTTCCACTGAACACCATCTCTAGCACTTTATGATTTTTTTGTAAACAATAAAAATGGATAACGAAATTAATGCAAACAAATTCAGAGGTATCTTATACCTATAACAATATATTATTACAAGTTGATAACCTACACTTGTGAGTTCGAGTCCTCTTTTTATATTTCTCTTTTCGGGGTGTATTCTAATTTCTAAGAGTGGGAATCTTCCAAAACTTTAACAAATTAAAAATTGTGCGAGTGTCCTCATTAGGCGGGCTGTTTCTCCTACTTTTCAAATTTTCACTCATGACGATCGTCGATTGGTGATCAGTTCAGAATCCCTTGAGCTCTAGGTTTCCCTTACGCCCATGATTTGATTAGACAAAGTCCAAATGTGACGTCACAGAAGTTTCGTCATTATTGATTTAGTTGTATTTATCAGATATTTTGTGAGAATTTATTATCTTTTCGTTATCAGCTTTTTATTCCGCTGGAGAATTCTACTGCGAGGATATCTACTGGTTTTTATTTATTTTAAGAAAGGGTTTTATAAATTATTTAGATAGTATTCAAACATAAAGCGCTTACAAAAACTGCAAATTTACCTTCCTTGTTTGTAGATGTTTGATACTTCTTTAAGGTACGAACCACCATACAGACAAATAACGTGTTATAGTCACTTAATGGCTGCGTTTAGTATACAAAAGATGTCACGAGACATCCGTCTCGCCCTGTAGTTAAGACTCTTCTTCTTTTTCTTAATTGTACGGCCTACGATCCCGACACTGAATACGAAACGCAAATAATACTGGCAATACCAGCAATACCGGCACCAATACCTCTCACATGCACGTGCTCAGTCAATCAGATCCTGATATGCATGCAATATGGACTTACGCATGCGTGAACGCAAGAGTCAGCCAATCACAGACGTAGTCGCTGCGCGCGCAGGTAATGAGTTGCGTGCGTACGTCGGTTTTCACTAATGTCCAATAAGATTGATCCAAGAGGGTTCCATTAATATTCTATGGAATATTTTGTGTATGTTCCATACATATATCAAAATGTACACTGAATATTCCTTATTGCGGTAAATATAGCGAATAGGGGACCCAGCCCCAATGACCTTGACCTTGACATATGTTGTCAAGGACATAATTCTGAGTAACTTTTTCTTCTAATTTAATCGTCGCTCGTTGCTTATTAAAAGGTTATTAACAAAAAAATTTGAAATATACCAAAGTACATGCACGGACAGGAAGCTTTACAATACAGCATGTACTTTATAAGTTGTAAAGCGAGGTCCACCCTGCCTACCAGCGGAGTGGGTGCGGGAGGGGGGTCGAAGGCCCCCCTTGCACCCCCCGTGAGTGTGTGTGTGTGTATGCGCGCGCGCGCGTGCTTCCTGTCCGCTTCGCTATATTTATCCTTATTGCTCATACAAGTAGTGTTCATAGAATATTCTGAATATTTCACGATTATTTGAACCAGGGTATCTAGCGGTTAGGGAAATTTGGAAAACCGGGTATTGTCAGGGGATTTTATAAATCTGGAAATGTCAGGGAAAAATCAGGAAATTTTACTATTTATCTGGATTTTTTCACATTGTTCTACATTTTTCTCAATAATTTGAAATTTTTTATTAAATAAATATAAACTTTTTTCTGGCTCCTAGTACGCTAATTTTCTGTTTTGTTAAAAATTGTTTTACTTACAAACTTGTTCGATAATTTACATTTTCATCGTCGTGTTATTTTATTTCAATGTGTTTGACAAAAACAAAATTATAAAAAAATGAATACCAAGCAGCTCTATCTGTATGACAAAAGTTGTTGTGCGACTGTAAGATGTCGCGGCAGTAGCGCAGTTGGTACGTAAAACACATCCATTTACGTGGTTTTTGTTAACGTGAAATTTTTACCGACCTTTTCTTTTATTTATAATAAAATTGGTAAAATATAACAAAATATAATGCTAAATTGGAATAGCGTGTCATTTCAACAGTAAGTAACAGTATTGTACAATATTTTATTGAGCCGTGTTAAGAAAGAAACAGCAATTTAAATGAGGTTAGATTAGGTTATGTATCGTCATGTTTCTCTATTGATGTATCATCGGCATTATTTACATTCACATTCAAGCATCACAATTCAATCAAAACAACAATAAGTTTAACATCTTCAATTTGGTTGATTTTGAATAAAAATAACTTTTTTACTATCTGAAATTAATTAATTAAACTTTAAACTTTCTGTCATATTAAATAAATTAGTATATCTTTCTTTCATTTTTTTCTTTAAATTTTTATTTTCTAGAAATATATGGCACAATGTCTACTAATACTAAGAAATGCAGCTTTAAGCTAACATGGACCAATGAAAGCATTTTTTCATGGTTGAAACTTGTCCGAAACGACAAGTTTTCTGCAAGATGTTCGATATGTAGTTCGACATTTTCTTAAAATAATATGGGTCGAAGAGCCTTGACCAGTCATATGAATGAAAAAAAACACAAAGAAATTGCAAAAAATCAAACCTCAGCGATCTTCCCGATATTAACTAACAATAACGTTACGAAGATTGAATCCACAGACTCAATTCATTGTTCCAACACTCTCATTGCAGCCAACACGTCATCACGAATAATTAATTCTACACGGACTTCGCAGGAATCTCTGACGATTCTAAACGACGAAAATTGTCCAAACAAGATATGTTCGTCTACTTGTGCAGTACATTGCAATACGACGGCATCACCGATTCAATTTCGAAACAAAATCGCAACGAGTGAAGCATTTCATTATGAACGATCGTAACACAGAAGCAGAGATTTTGTGGTGCCTTCATGCAGTCATGTATTACAACTCTCTGAGAAATATCGAAAGTAGTATAGCATTGATGAAAGTTATGTTTTCAAATAACGAAGTTGCAAACAAAATGCAGTTAAGCAAAGCGAAAGCAGCATATATGATTACATATGGTTTCACAAATTATTTCCAAAACGAACTCAAACAGCAAATCAAGAAATGTAACAATGTTGTAATCTCGTTTGATGAAAGTCTAAATAAGATATGTCAAAAAGAGCAAATGGATATCTTTATCCGTTTTTGGGACGAAGATAAAAATGAAACTGTAACGAAGTATTGGACTTCTACATTCTTAGGACACACGATGGCGTTTGATTTACTTGCTGCATTCAAAAGCTCTATCCCGCGAGATATGCTGCAAAAGATGATACAAATCTCTATGGATGGACCAAACGTGAACATTAAATTCCTCAGAGAGCTAAAACACGATTTAATTAGGCACTTGTGGATTGCACACCCTGCATTGTGCATTTAAAACTGGTATAAAAATTACAAAATGGGAAATAATTGAGTTTCTGCGAGCCTTGTATAATTTGTTTAAAAATGTACCTGCTCGAAAAGCAGACTACATAAGAGCTTCAGGTTCGCAACAGTTTCCCATGAAGTTTTGTGCAATACGATGGTTAGAGAATATTTCAGTCGCTGAGCGAGCTAGTGCAATCTTACTAAATATTCGCAAATATCTATGTGGAAAAAATTACAAAAGAAAAGAAAGTCCCACAATGCGCCAGTTTTAAAGTTGTTACTGACGCATTAAACGACAAATTGTTGTTTCCAAAGTTGGCTTTTTTCAATCACTTGCAAGTGACGTTCAACACTTTCTTATTAATTTTCAATTTGATTACCCGATGACTCCATTTCTTTATGATGAACTCACCACACTTCTAAGATCCGCGATGGAAAGAATCGTTAAGCCGGATATCTTACGAGAACTAGATTTATCAAAAATAGATGTAAAAAATGAAGATAATCTACTGACTGCAAAGCATATAAACCTTGACTATGCGACTGAAGCTGCGCTTCGAAAAGTAAATTGATCTGCTCTCGAAAGTAAAATATCTGATCGCGAAATAATGTAATTTAAAGAGCAAATTCGCAAGTGTATTCAAGCTTTCATCATAAAAATAATAGATCGTTCTCCATTGAAATTTCCTATTGTAAAAGCTGTTTCTTGTCTAAATCCAACTGTAGCGCTGCAGACCGATTTAGCAAATAAGCGGCTATCTACTGCATTACGTATTTATGTGGAAAACGAGATCATCTCCGGACATACAGGAGATAAAATTGACCGAGAATATAAACGTACTAGCTATAGGCCTGCGCTTCGCGCGGGATTTTAAGTCTGTCCGTCTTCAATATTTTACCTGGCATATAATAGATGTTATATTTTTTATTATTTATTCACTTATTTTTTTTCACGATTGACGTACTCATCGTTAATCCATTATTACTATGTATTCACCATTAATCCACTATTATTTGTTATAATTTATTTTTATATTTTTTCTATTTATAAAACTTCTCTCTATATACTATATTTGCCCAAAAAGATTTGTGATTTTCTGAAATAAGATTCTCTTAATTGCTGAATTTCCGTTATACGGCCGCCGAGCTACGGAAAGCCGAATACCGCCGAGCGCTGCCGTGAACGCCCGAGCGACACCCGCCGAAACGCCGCGCCGTTTCGCCCAGGGGAGGTGACGTATTACCGATAATTACCTGCCGAAAAACAATACGTCATTATCCCCACCCGGGGGCGAACGACGCGGGTACCGTTAGACGCTCAGGTATATAACGGCAGCCTTTTTAGATCCCGGCACTAGAATCGCACCGAATCTGAATCCGCTCGAGCTGTACGCTCGAGATTTTCCTGATCCGATCCGACTCAATACGCAAACCCGACGGAACGCGAGGTTGACGAGTACGCAGCCTCCGCCGAGTATTCTCGTCTTCCGAACCGTTTTGCGATCCTTCGCAATCCGCAACCGCTTCTCTCGAGAGTTCTCGAGAAACGGTCTAATTTCCGACCGACCCGATCATACGGACCGTGGGATGGCGAGTTCGCCACCCCGGTGAGTTTTCTCGACTTCCGGTGGTCAATCCATACGCCGCGTGCGAACAAGGGACAGCGAGTTCGCTGTCCGTACGAGATCTCTCGATATCACACGCATCCCATAACATCTGGGAATACGCGACATAAAAGCATAAGAAGCAGTCTCGGCGATTTAAACCGACTCACACGTTTTTGTGAACCACGCGCCGTCACAACAAACCGACCGCGCACCCCGCGCCGCCTGGCGTGTTTATATCCGCGTTGCGTATACTACATCGAATTTCATGTGGGTGGATGGATAGGGATGTAAAACCAGAAAAAAACCAGATAATAGCTTTCCCAGAAAAATTTGCAAAATATTGGTACCAATATCGAGAAAATTTCGAGAAAATCGATTGTGCATATGTGGATGCATGTGTGGGTGCATGGATGAATGGATAAGGGTGTTAAACTTAAAAAAATCACATAGTGGCCTTCCCCGAAAAATTAGCAAAATTTTAGTACCAATTTCAAGAAAATCGGTTGTGCGTGTGACGATGAGTATGTGAGTGCGTGGGTAGATGAGTAGAGGTGTAAAATTAAAAAAAAAAACAACATAGTAGCCTTCCCCGAAAAATCAGCAAAGTTTTGGTATCAATTTCGAGAAAATCGGTCCATAAATGTAAAACATGGTGTGTTGGTGCGTGGGTGGGTGGGTGGAAGTGAATAACTAAGAAAAAACCACATAGTAGTGTTACGTCCGGCGGACTCCACGATTCTTTTCTTTCATCGTAAATAGAGATTAGCGGTATCAGAACGCGTTATACGCGTTTATCGAAGACATCCGCGACCGCCATTACGACATCCGGACTCGCCATTGATACGGCGCGCTAAGTCCCGCGCCGGGGGATGATCCACATCTTCTCGTGGGGGTGTAAAACTAAAAAAATACCACATAGTAGCCATCCCCGAAAAATTAGGAAAATTTTGGTACCAATTTCGAGAAAATCGGTCCATAAATGTAAAAGTAGTTCGTGGTCCGACAGACAGACAGACAGACAGACGCGACTTATATATATAGATTTATGCGATTCCAATGGTCCAGGAAAAATTAAAATCTTTTGATCGGTTGGAAAATCGTTTAGATCATTTTTGGATCGATCTGATCATGACTTGTGGTGTTTCAGAGTATAGTAATTTGTTGTATTTTGTTAAAACAGTTATGATTCTTTCGCATGGCAATGCTACGGTGGAACGAGGTTTCTCTGTAAACAAGAGATGTTTAGTCGAAAATTTACATGAAAAATCTTTAATCGCGCAGAGAACAATTTATGATGCCATTAATGTAAAGGGCAGGCTTAAAAATTTTGTTGTCACAAAAGATTTGATTCGTGCAGCTCGTAATTCTCATTCATGGTATAAAGAAGATATTGCGAAACAAAAGAGAGAAAAGAAAGAAGAAGAGGAAGCACGAGATATGCAAAAGCGAACTGCCAAAATGATCAAAGAATTGGAGCAAAAAAGAAGAAATTACTTGATGACGCCGTAAAAGAAATGGCTCGAATTTTGATGAAAAAATTAAAGACATAAAAAAACTGTGATTTCGAAACCGATACCATATTACTACTACTAGTCACGAAGCAATATAATATTAGCATTAGTTATTAATAGCATCAAAAACGTTACAAAAAATAGTATTTAGCCGCTAGTTCGTTTGTTTATCGCTATTTATCGCGCTATTTATCGCGTTTATCGCGACGCGCGATCTCGTATTTGAGATTTGGTCATGAGAATTATATAAAGCTTGTAAAGAGTAACCGGCAGGAAATAAAAAATGTAATTATTTTCTGTCAGTTCAATTTCTGATGCAATCTCAACATAGGGAATTCAGATATTGGATTGTTTAGAAAATATTACACGGCTCAAATCCAAAAGCCAAACCTGATATTCATGTAGACTACGAAAATCTCAAATATCAAAGAACGTGAATTATTTTTAGTATTACATTTTCAGTACAGGCAATAAATAACAGGACGCAATTTTCAGAATTTGCTCCCTGAAACGTACGAAAAATATCCCTAACATATCCCATAGAAATCCTTAGAATGTTCCACAGGATCTCCCTGGATTCTCCAGAGGCTAGTATTCGGCTATCATTTACTCTTCCTCAGGACATCCAGAGGAGATCTGAGTATTAAAATGGGATATCCTCAGGATATCCTACATGTATGTCCTGGATGCCCTTCGGACGTCCTAAGGACATCCTTGTGCGGTCTGGGACATTTCCAAAACTAAAAGTTACGAGTAATTCCAGATCCACAAAATGTTTGTGGATTATAGAAGTGCTTCGATATGATTTTATCATTTCATTATTCTTTATGCCAATTACAAATGTGTATTTAATGCTGTTGTTTTTATGATATTTTTGATAGAATGCTCACAAGATTTATTTTGCTATTAACACAAACTCATTGCTTAGCCATATGTGAGGTTATTTAAAAATATTATTTATGCATTAATTACATTCAAATGTAAAACTAAATAAACATTATATACAAATGCGCGTTCGCGGGTATAATTACTAGCTTATCGTTTTCGAAAACATGGTCTGCCAAAATCTTCCATAATCATTTTTCAACAATGTATTTATGACAAATATGTTAATTGACAATGTACAGATTCACTCAAATGTAAACATTCGCTCAGTTTTGCTAATATAATCTAACTTTGCTCAATATGACATCGATTAGAAGAAATCACTTCTCTTCCATGCACTATTCCGCGATATTCTTAATAACTGTTAACCACTTTATTATTTTTCTTCTGGCGTTGCACTATTCCGTGAAGATTATTTATAATCTTATATTCAATACTTATATTCAATATGGTATTAGCTTTGTAAATATATACTGTTTATAAATAGTTCCTTTTAAAAAAGAATTTCCTTTCTATCGAATAAATTTAAAAAAAATCACATCCATGTAAATACTGCATAATGTAGTACTTTATCAAATTTAAGAAATTAGGCTCTCGAGTGACATCACAAATTCTAATAATCGCGGGCTAGTAAGAGCCAGAACGCGGATGGCAGTGCGTCAGTTTCATAGAAAAATAAGTTTTCTATGAAACTGAATATGTGCACAGGGCACGAAATTTACTTGGTGTATACCAAGATTTTTTAAAAATTAATCTCAATTCGAGATTTATAATAATCCCTCTTTACCCCCCTGGAGAGACGAAGGCGAGAAAAATATCGGGGCGAAGTCGCTGAATCGGGAATCGAACCCGAGTCTTTCGCTTGCCGGGCGACTGCTCTTACCTCTGAGCTATTCAGACCCCACACCACCGATACTTCTCATTTGCCTTATAATATCTATTACTATTAACGCCATCTTTCAACCGGCGTGAACTAACAAATTTAAGAAATTAGGCTCTCGAGTGACATCACAAATTCTAATAATCGCGGGCTAGTAACATCGATCACATCAATCACCAATTCCGAGTTTAAAAGTGCCCCGTGCCAAACTGATCGACTTGTTTTGAAATTAATCATAAGCTTTACTAGATAGACCTGGAACGAAAAAGATTAAAATTAAAGTGAGATACAAATACTTGGCGTGCCCGATCTGAAATAAAAATTTCCAAAAGATTATCAGAAATCATTATCAATATATTAATACAAATATATGACATAATGCGACACGGGCACGCCAAGTTTCACTCTTGGTGATCGATGTGATCGACGTTACGGCAGTAAAAATTAAGTAATTTTATGATGTACTATTTGTAATAAAATCCGCAATATAATTGTTCCCTTTGTAATACACACGTTTTCCAAACTATAAAGATATTTATAAATGAAATTTGTGCCAAAATTTTTTTCAGAATTAATATGTACCTGCTATTAGCAGTATTTGAATATTCTAATATTGTTAATATGTTAATTCCAATATAAGCAAGCATATGTGTATATGTGTATGTATGCGTCTTTATAATAATAAAAAAGATTTGCAAAAACTAGAAAAACGGCGCTATTGTGCACATATATATATAATTGCAATTCCTTGGTCCATTCATCATTCTCCATACGCATAACAGTATGTCCACTTTCACTAGGACGTTCTAATGACACAGGAAATTAAAATAAGTTAAAGATTTCCATACATTATCTTTAACACCGAATTCTTCATTTTTAGCCTCGAAACGCACTCCATTAATAACATTGTTATTTGGTACCAAAGGACCAATTTGATCGCCATATTTATGATATTTTCTAATTAATTCACTTCTAAATACATCGGCTTTTTTATGTTTCAAATGCTTTTTAAACGACGTTTTTCGAATTCCGGACACATATCTTTTTTTGGAGTGTAATAAATCTTTAGTATTTAAGGTAACGAATTCGAGCGATATATCATCATCATTGGTAAACTGAAATAATCCTTGCCCATAAATTTGAGCTTTACAATTATGATCACTGCAAAATCCATTTATTTTTACAATATAATCTGTAGCATAACAGTTCGCGTGTATTACTTTTTGGTTCTTGAAAGAATACGCACATGGTAATTTTTCTTGTAGAAAAATTAATTCAGACAAGATATGTGTCCACCCATTCTTCAAAGAATAATAAATTTCTCCTCTATTATTGACTTTCTCTTCTGGTTTGATATTTAACCATTGTTCTTTTGATAAAACAATTTTAAATTGAATTTTTTTATCATTACATGGATGTTGCGTATTCCATTCAAAACTGTCGAAGCTATTGCTATTACTATCATTACACAAGTCAGAAATATCTATGTCATCAGTTTCACTTAGAATTTCTTTCGTAAAGTTATTGAAATTAATCACATTTTTCATCTTTTTATATGTTTCGAAAACGTTATGCCGATTTTGATAGACATAAAAGTATAAATTAAAATGTTTCATTTGATTGTCCCATGTTGCGCATATGTCTCTCCACACTGAATTAAATTTAGATTTCAATTTGCCGGTTTGATTGTCACAAATTTCAAAATATTTTAAAGTTTTTATAATTTCAGAATTAGATATTGCAGCACGAGGACTCATTATTATAAAGAAAATTATAAAAAACGTCTTGCAATGTGATATGAAATTTGCAGTGATCATCCTTTCGTTTCTTTTTTACTATAATTTCAAGATATCGCGGATAGAAGCAAAATGAAAACACATGACTTAATTGTCAGAATAATCTACATTGTTGATTTATTATCAATTTAACCTGAATCGTCAACCGTGCCGAAATGATAAATTTTTTATAATGCTAAAAAACTTACATTATTCTATTGTCAAGTTGAACAAAGTAATGTCCCAATAGCGGAATTCTGTTTCAAAGTGAATCTATGCGTTACACTTGAAGCCGCACAAAAAGTATCTTCATTTGTCACAAGCGTTTTCCTATAAAGAAATAAAGAAATAACAATTTTATTCATTATTCTGACAAGAATTTATCTTATGATTGTGATAATATATTTTGCATTATAATAACTGACCTCATTATATTAGTCAGTTGTCTTGCGGTAGCCGCCGGTTCAAATTTTACTTTACAAACATATGTGACTTGTCCACTTTCACTAGGACGTTCTAATGACACAGGAAATTAAAATAAGTTAAATACTAAATTCCCAGAGAGCAGATAACCTTCCGCGGCTATCTTGAACCAACTTGGTTAACAATTATTCAAAGTGAATCTATGCGTTACACTTGAAGCCGCACAAAAAGTATCATCATTTGTCACAAGCGTTTATAAAAAAAATGGTTAATAGCATTACTCTGTAATTTGTTGATAGAAATGATTGTGGATTGCCTCTCCATGCCATACCTGTGGGAATATCTTTATGTTCATTGAAACTTGAAAATGGAATATATGGTCTGCGAATATCCCATACATTTATACTACAATCAACCATTAGAGCACAACTTGCTATGTGATATTTTTTTCTGTGGTCTCCATTTAATGCGTCCCTCTGATGCAATAATATGTATGGCATAATCGCAACTTGGTTTACCTGACAGATCCCAAACCTAAAGAGTTCATATAAAGAATATAAATATACAATCAATATTTCATAAAAGTCTATATATAAAATAATGTATATGCCTTAATAGTTTTATCTCTAGATGCAGTAGCGAGCCAAGTGGCTTCAGGATGCCAATCACAAGTAAATATCGGACCACTGTGTGCGGTAAAATGTTGAAAATAACGATGCGGCTTTCTCATGTCTCATTGCTGTACATGTCCATTTTCGGATACAGCAGCAAAAGTATGCGGTTGTTGTGGACAAAATTGAACATCTCTCACCGATTCTGTATTACAAAATATATGAAATACACAAAATTTCAAAATATTAAAAAAATTATTTTGCCGTTATCTTTAACAATTACAAGAGAGCTTTATCTATATATACTATAACATAATTTACCTATAATATTCTCCAGTAGAGTAAATATTTTAAAAACTGCAATATAATTCACACCCATATGATACAGTTATGTTAAAAATATGAAATTTTATTCAAAACTTATGATAAACAATCCGTTATATCATAATGACTAAAATTACAATACACACACACACGCATACACATCTATCCCTCAAAAAAAGATATATTATACTAAAAAAAACACACCGTTACGACCGGCTATCACAACCTAGCTATTATCTTCTTCTTCTTTGTTTGATTGGCACAAATTAATTACCCACCACACGGCCAGGTAAGAAGTGAACGGCCGATTAAGTGAACAATTAGAAAGGATTCCTCTTTAGAAGGGGAAGATAAAACTCAAAAATATGATCCAAAGGACACACGCGTAACGTGTCTGAACACGTTCGTTCCCGCCCGCGGGCGGCAACGAACTTTTTTGGCTATTATCTTTATTAAGGGCTAAGGCCGATATTACATTTGTCGTACGACAAACTTTTTAAGGGCATTGATTATCTAATTTCTAGAGACTCAAGAAAGTTTCTATTTTGCAGCCAATCAATATGCTTAAAAAGTTTGTCGTACGACAAATGTAATATCGGCCTCAGACCACGCATTGAAGATTGAGATCAAAGATTGAAGATTGAAATTTGACCAATTAAGACAAAGAAATTTTAGTTTCTTTTATTCCAATTAGTTAAATATTAAGGAGCAATCGTTTGAGCTATAAATTATTAAAAAATATGAACTTCCAGCGCCAACTTATTTCCGGTGTTGCGATTGACCACGTTGCGATTGACCACATTGATATTGACTACGATCCCGATTGACCACGGTCCCGATTGACCACGGTCCCGATTGACCACGGTCCCGATTGACCACCCGTTGTCAATATAAACGTGATTAATCGGGACCGTGGTCAATATTAACGTGGTCAATCGGGACGTGGTCAATCGGGACCGTGGTTAATCGGGACCGTGGTCAATATCAACCTGGTCAATATCAACGTGGTCAATCGGGACCGTGGTCAATATTAACGTGTTCAATCGGGACCGTCGTCAATCGGAACCGTGGTCAATCGGGACCGTGGTCAATCGGGACCGTGGTCAATCGGAACCGTGGTCAATATCAACCTGGTCAATATCAACGTGGTCAATCGCAACGTGGTCAATCTCAACGTGGTCAATTGGGACCGTGGTCAATATTAACGTGGTCAAACGGGTGCCACTCGTACGGTGTACCATTTGTCGAGATAGACCGAGCATATGAGCTACATGGCGCACGCTATTTTTGGGGTTCCCCTCAAACTCTCTTAAAATCCTTTTTTCATCGTTTACACTGTAATGCATTGATGCACCAGCGTTTCGACGATTTGGAATAAGAATTCCCGATTCTTTAGCGCGTTGAACACATCTCAAAATAACATTCGAATTGGGATGTCGCTCACGGTCGGGAAATCGCTCCGCGTAGAGACGAGCCGCTGCACGAGCATTTTCGTCGGTTGCTCCATATACGACAATCATATTGGTATACTTTTCTGCAGTATATTTCGTCATTTTTTACTTTTTTTTACGAGACGTACACGTCGAATGTTGGGCGCCTACTGTGGTGGAGCAACAAATAACGATCGAAAAGAAATGACCGATAACAAATGAACGCTGTTGACTTTTTACGAACGTTTATTTTTTTCAAACGCTTGTGCCGCGGAACTCTTGTGCCGTTGTCTTTACGCGGAACGATTCTCTAGTTCACGCGTTGATTATGTAATTTGATATCCTTGTACTCAGTCGCAACCACACTTGATCGGTGAATATTACAAATTGTCACTATTTTACTTGTAATATTCGCCGATCAAGATATTTTTCGGTATCGAGCGCGTGTGGTTTTCCCGACCGTGAGCGACATCCCAACTCAAATGTAATTTTGAGATGTGTTCAACGCTCTAAAGAATCGGGAATTCTTATTCCAAATCGTCGAAACGCTGGTGCACCAATGCATGAGTGAGTCTCGATTGCGCACATTACCAATCGGACACGACAATATTTCCCAATCGGACACAGACTTAATCGGACACAGGCTCGAACGGACACATATGGTTGCAATCGGACACAAGCCTGATCGGTCACAGGCCCGATCAGACACAGGCCCGATCGGACACAAGCCCGATCGGACACAGACCCGATCGGACATAGGCTCAATCGGATACAGACCCGATTGGACACAGTTCCGATCGGACACAATCCTCATCGCGAAGCTAGGTCCACCCTACAATCGTTGTGTGGATGGGAAAATGTATGCGTGGACACAGTGGGTTCCGCCCCCCTATGGGGGGGCTCCACTATCACTAAACTAGACACATAGGTTTGTGTTGAACCTCGCTTTGCGTGGAAAGTTGTAAACCTATGTGGAACCTTACTTCGCATTAAAAAGTATATGTGTGGAGGCAGTATGTTCCGCCCACCCTACAAAGGGGCTCCACTATCAAAAAACTAGACACATAGGTTTGCGTTGAACCTCGCTTTGCGTGAAAAGTTGTAAACCTATGTGGAACCTTACTACGCATTAAAAAGTATATGCGTGGAGGCAGTATGTTCCGACCCCCCTACGGGGGAGCTCCACTTCCGGAAGATATAACCTAACCCAAACCTATTATTTCTGATATACTATGTCCGATCGGGGTTGTGTCCAATCGGGCCTGTGTCCGATCGGGATGGTGTCCGATTGTAACCATATGTGTCCGATCGGAACTGTGTCAGATTGAGTCTGTGGCCGATCGAGCCTGTGTCCGATTGGGAATGTGTCCGATTGCAACAGTATGTGTCCGATCGGAACTGTGTCCAATTGGGTTTGTGTCCGATCAAGCCTGTGTCCGATCGGGACTGTGTCCGTTCGGACATGTGTCCGATCGGATCTGTGTCCGATCGGGAAATATTGTCCTGTCCGATCGGTAATATGCGCAATCGGGACGATCCCCAATGCATTACGGTGTAAACGAAGAAAAAAAGATTTTAAAAGAGTTTGAGGAGAACCCGGAAATAGCGTGCGCCATGTAGCTCATATGCTCGGTTTATCTCGACAAATGGTACACCGTACTTTACGCCGAAACGGATTGTACCCGTATTATTATCAACGAGTACAACAACTTTTGGCGAGAGATGCAGAACAGCGCATCTATTTTTCTGAAGGTATTCTTATTATCTTTAATTAATATTTTTGTGTTATCAAAAAAAAAAATAGTCAGCGAAACATACACAGGGTTTCTCGCTCAGTGTCGGCAAAACGATTTTTTCCCCGACCGAATTCTATGGACGAATGAAGCAACCTTCACCCCGAACGGCGTATTTAATAGCCGTAATTATTTATTTTGGGCGGAAAACAATCCGCACGCCGTTCGGGAATGCTCGTTCCAATATCGATGGGCGATAAATGTATGGGCAGGAATAACAGCGAACTGAGTCGTAAGTAGTAAATTTTAGTAAATCAAGGAATCTTCTTTCGCAGCTTTAAAATATATCATTTTCTTTCGTGATTTTCAGATTGGTCCTTATTTCCTACTGCCACATTTAAATGGGGAAATATATCTAAACTTGGGTGTAGTTCCGAAAAGTACTCACTCCCCATTTTTTTGGAACTCAGTGCTTTTGGTAGTGGAGCCCCCCGCAGGGGGGCGGAATCCACTGTTTCCACGCATACACTTTTCCACGCGAAGCGGGGTTCCACATGGGTTTGCAGCTTTCCACGCAAAGCGAGGTTCCACGCAAATCTATTTGTCTAGTCTTTTGGTAGTGGAGCCCCCGCAGGGGGGCGAAACCCACTGTTTCCACGCATACACTTTTCCACGCGAAGCGAGGGTCCACATGGGTTTGCAACTTTCCACGCAAAGCGAGGTTCCACGCAAACCTATTTGTCTAGTTTTCCGGTAGTGGAGCCCCCGCAGGGGGGCGGAACGCACTGTTTCCACGCATACACTTTTCCACGCGAAGCGAGGGTCCACATGGGTTTGCAACTTTCCACGCAAAGCGAGGTTTCACACAAACCTATTTGTCTAGTTTTTCGGTAGTGGAGCCCCCCGCAGGGAGGCGGAACGCACTGTTTCCATGCATACACTTTTCCACGCGAAGCGAGGGTCC